TTATGTTGATTAGTAGTTGGGGAGTATTTATCATTGTTGACTGTACTGGCAAGCGTTAACAAGGTAAGTTACATTCTCGAATCAGTCATAAAATAAAGTATCAGTAAGTTTGTAAAAATGTCAGTAGCATGTCTTATTCGAGTCAGAACACGTCTGTAAATCCTCATTTACGTAAGACTGATAAAAGCTATTACACAAAATTGCCTACTTTATAAAACTACGTCATATTTTAAAGATATGCTGCAAAGATAATTACGAGTCTAATCTCAAATCAAAAATTCTGAATACTTTCAATAATACAGACATCATATACCAAATAAGGATAATAAGAAAACCATTTTGCTAATATAAACATCTCAGTCAAAGGACTTTCCAAATACGTAGGTATAACAAATTCTCACGTTACCTTCTATGATGCACCGACGTACGTCAGCGCAATTACGTGTACCTAGTCCCTACAATTTTCCCCACCTGCGTCATGTGACACGAATTGCAACGTTTTCCTTCCTTCCTCCTTTCTGTTTCTTACTCAACCCAGGAGGGGCTAAACAGTTTATAATTTTAAAAGTCAATACATTAATTGCACTGGATGTATGTAAGTACTCAAGTGAGTATCTATAACGTCTTTTACTTGTAAACTTTCATCAGTTAGTTATGTCCAGTCCTATGTCATTGTAATAAAGGACCAAGCCTAATGATATACTCCAAACCAGGCGTTATTTTTAAACCCCCAAGAGAGGGAATGAAAATTAATTTGGCCCTTGGACCCCAAGACTAAATTACAAATACATTTCACTCAGGTAACGATGTAGATATAATGCTGAGTCAACTAAATCAAACAAAACCTGCATTTTTCAGAACCTTTTCCTTATAAATGTACGCTTTGACAAACCCATATTAGGTAGAATAACATCAAAGTTGTTTGTTATTTGTCATATAGCGTAGGTTCTAATCACACACTAACTAACTTATGTAGGAAAATATTCCACTGCACAAAGATATCTGTTTAGTTTATTGATCATGCACAACTAAGTACCTACGAAAATAATTAAATATGCAAATTGTACTAAGAAAACTCTCAAAGACGTAGAATTACGAATTCTGTAGAAATAAAATATTACTCACTCTTACCGCCCTTAAACTGTCAAGCACCAAGCGGTCACCGGTGACCGCGACCTATTGTTCTTTAATTGTGTCTATAAAACCGGTACTCGACGAGTTAAAGGGACAAGCCTGCCACATCCTCCTAAAAGCAGTGCAACTAAGCCAGGATCTACAGTAGATACAACCATGAAAACACCGGAACACTGAAGTCCGGCGCGTCCCGGGGACATGAGTTACTGTCTTGGTTCCCGCAACGAAGTGAATCAGAAGATATTATAAGAGGACAAGAAAAAAAACGATAGTTTCTTCCCTCGGTGAATTACTGCCGGAGACAGAGTGAATTAAGCATAAAGGCACAAAAAAGAGTCTGTACCCAGTAGTCTCTTTACAGTCTCTTGAAGCCCAGTCGCGAAGAACCACGGAAATTTGATTAAAAACTAAGTGGGTCCTATGTGTGACCTGCCCTATGCCTACCTGAGGTAGCAAGCACAGGGCATCACCTACATTGATCCTCACATAGGTACGACGAAAACAGTAATATCACTATTCTCCCTTTGATTTTCTACTAAATTGACGAATGAATTTCGTTCACAACTCAAAGGTTCCAAATTGCCGCTGTTACAAAGAAATAAAAAAATAGTACAGTCAGTACCAATAAAATGTTTCCAGTTCAACATATCAAGACGGTTTACTAGCATACAAAAAGAGAAAAATGTAATGCAATGTATAAGTGGTATGACGTCAAATTCATTAAGAGCAAGATCAAGGTCTCCAGTCCATTTCCTGGGTGAAGCAGTGTCATTTTCAATTATAGCAAGGAGTTTGGAATGTGGTCCAAGTCTGCTCCTAATTAATTACAAGAGACTAATAACAGTTTTATCATTATCCCTAAATCAACTCTTAACTAAGAGTTATTTACCGCGGGGGAGCACCTAAAATAACCTGACCAAAAGTAACACTTCGTTAAGTGTCACCTATCTTACAGGCCCACCTAGCTTAGCCTCTTGTCTGTTGAAAGTTGCGGCCATAATGTGTTTATACCGGGAGCCGGTGTTTCAAACGATAAGAGGTTATGGGCTCTTTAAAATTGAACAGAGATTAGTGAAATTAGGCATTAGAATGAGGAAAGAGTGAAGATTCTATACTACAGAGTAGCCCTTCCGAGACCTATTCGAGGAATATAATATATTAACATCTATTACGTAAAGTCGTCGACATTATGACATAATTTTCCTCCTAACTGTACTTGTGCTTACATTAAAAATGTCGTCACAGTACGTAAACAAGAGATAGTCGTTTCATTAAGTGTTAATTAAATAATCGTCAGTAACATTGAACTACAGAGATTATGGACCATGTGCTACTGAACGAGAAAGGTGAAATATGGAACCTCGAAGTATTAATTTCTTTTTAAAGTATGTTTTATGTCTGCCATTTAGGTACTAGGTCAGTATAAAGTGTAAACCACTTTACTTATTGGTAAGACTGCCTCGTTGGCCGAGTGGTCGCAAGTGCGACTGCCGGGTAAGAGGTCTCGGGTTCGATTCCCGGGTCGGGCAAAGTATTACTGGGTTTTTAAAAAATCTCAGTAGTAGCACGGAGTCTGGAATTGTGCCCGGTATATGGCAATAGGCTCACCCCTTATTACATGGGACTGATTCATAACATAAATAGTGAAAAGAGGGTGTTACATTGTACAGTGGCATAATGTGCACCTCTGCCTACCCCTTCGGGGATAAAAGGCGTGATGTTATGTTTATGTAAGAACACCATATTTTAATTGGTCCATTTTAATTTGTAGATTATATTAATTATTATATTCACTCATTGTCGTGGTGGACCCGAGGTTCAAGACGCCCGCTTCTCATACACGAGGGTGCAAGTTCAAAACCCACCAAAGACAAAGTACCAATGGGACTTTTGGACATGTGACTCACATCATCACTTGCATCCACTAGCGACTTACGACAAGAAAGAAACAGATTTTAATAAAATAAATAAATAAAACTACTATCAACAACAACCGGTAATTAATAATTTACGAACCAGTTTTATATTCGTTTGTACTGAGATTGACCAGTCGGACCGGCGACCAGTTCCGAAACAACACATATTAATATTGTCAACATGAAACTTTCTTAGGACAAACGAATAAATCTTAAGTAACATAATTAAAATAAATATTATGGTCATAACAGGTTTTAAATATAAGGTGTTCATAATGTATATAAATAAAAATGAATTTTCGTTCGTAAGTCTCACTAAAACTGGAGAACGGCTGAACCGATTTGGCTATTGTTGGTATTGATATGTTGCCTGCCTCGTTGGCCGAGTGGGCGCAACTGCGACTGCTGGTCAAGAGGTCTTGGGTTCGATTCCCGGATCGGGCAAAGTATTACTGGGTTTTTAAAAATCTCAGTAGTAGCACGCAGTCTGGAAATGTGCCCGGTATATGGCAATAGGCTCACCCGCTATTACATGGGACTCATAACATAAATAGTGAAAAGTGGGTGATACATTGTACAGTGGTATAATGTCACCTCTGCTTACCCCTTCGGGGATAAAAGGCGTGATGTTATGTGATGTTATGTAAAAAAAATGTAGGCGGTACGAAATTTGTCGGGTCAGCTAGTTTCGAATAAATTAAGTACAGGATCGTCTATGCACTCATTTTCTTAGTGGATTCTCAGCGCAGGATTACAGGACGATTGCGATTTTGGAAGTCATTGGAGACGACCAATGGTCAGCAGGGAACGCCTTGTGGCTGATATAATAATGACTACACAATAGTGGCAGAGAAAAGTGTATTTACTTCGTACTTTTGCCAAAAGTGATGTAAAACTCACTTTTATCCTGAAAGTGTTAGAAGATATGATACTCAAAATTCTGACATCACCCACAATATATCACACAATTTTATATCCGTCTGTATATTCACTGCAAGTGACGGTATCCCGGCAAAGTTGATCGCCAACTTTCCTCTCAGATAAGGAAAGAAGCAAAGCAAGTGTACAAACAAACAGGTTTCTTACCATTATTGCGTGTCGTTTATTTTTGGTGTCATTCGGTAACTGACGTCATGCGGTACCCGCTCTGGGAGAAATTGAGGATGGAAAGAACATTCTAAGTGTAATTCTATCACAACTTATTTATGATCATCAATAGCGCATGGCGTTCTTCTGAAAATAAGAATTGCCACGATCTCCATCCTTGGCAAACGGGTTGGAGATTGCCCATAGTCGTCTCTTACGACACCAGCGGAAGAAGTAGAGGTAGTAACATTGTAATCTACTCTGTCTTTATCATACTGCATGTTTATGGACCAAACAAAAATAGGTTCGTTATCTATAATTATACTTTTTTTACTCTACCAATTTTCTCACTCCAACGACAACATTTGTCAAACTAAATGACATACTTTCGATATGTTTATAGGATTCAATGTCAACTGCAATACATTTTATTTATAGTATTAATGCGTAGGTAGGGGAAACTAATAATCTACCTAAATGTAATAACTAACAAATATTATTATCACGGAATCAGGATGTTCGGTAGTAGTGTTTACTCGTATGTACAAATCGCTTCAATTAACAATGACGGGGTGGCACACTCGCACGTTTGTACACAATGGAACAATAAAATACATGTGTGTAGATAACAGACACGAGCTAGATTATGATTGAAATTCACTAAAACAAATCAAACAAATGTAGAATCTACAAAACACCAAATAAGGGCGCGATTCGAATCTTGAACAACAGTCTATTCAGAAACGAAATTAGAATAAAATTAGATACGTTAGAAAATATGTTATAAGCCATTGCAGGACACAAAAAGACCTCCTTAGCGGCCCAATAAAGGCTAAACTTGGGTAAAGATCACAGATCACTTACATTTAAGTCTCTCAGTTCGTGGTCCTCTGCAGGCCGCGCTGAGTCCACAGCACAGCTCCTTGAAGTCGACATGGCCGTCCCTATTCTCATCGAAGGCCAGGAATGCTCCCGCGACAGCTGCTGCAGGGAGTGGCGGAGATATGAGAGGCGACAGGCTTTCTGCATCCAACTGTCCAGTGGGTGCAGCATTCCTTAGCGTCCAGAAGCATTTCTCCAGCTCTATTATGTCCTGAAAGATTGTATTTAATTAATCCCATGGTTCATATCTTAAGGATTAGGTTTTAATATTGTGTATAAGCTCTTGGCATCCGTGTTCTGTTTAACACATCATAATCTTTACTCTCCCTAGGGCTACCTAGGTATTGGTCAGTGTTTAACACAACAAGCGCAGCATCCACTTTTAACCTCAAGGGCCTTACTTGGCAGTTGCGCTTGCGACCACATATCGAGTATATTCGATTTACATAAAAGAAAAACAATTTCTACATAAAAGGTTACATGATGATTTCTAAGAAACATTTGCGTTTTTATTTCATCACTTTTTTATTTACATTCTAACAATCTACCTGGAAAGATACGGAGGAGACAATAAATACACGATATCTTTTATTTTCATACATTACTTCTTATACAGATGCCCTTGGAATATTTCTAAGTACTACAGGTGATATTACAAACGCACCTTATTTGTATTATGTTTTTGTTAGCCTGTATAGAATCTGCATCATTGCAATACAAATTATTTGCGTGGACAATCTACCTATACGGTGAAACGCATAGGTCTCTTATATCAGTAAGATATAACACAATACATCCTTTATGTTCAATATCGGCCTATCTAGTAATCTTTTCAAGAAGTGCCGTGTAAGTGCACATATAAAAAATATACGCAGTTTATGCCTTAAATAGAAGTAGTTACAGACAGAGTAACTGGAAGCAGACGGATGAGGGATGCACAAAGCCGAGAAATATAGCAGAAAAAGGAGGCCTATACCCAACAGTGGGTGAACCTAAGTAGAACCTATTGCGAAAGTACTCAATGTTACTGAAATTATTATAATAGAAAGGCCCAAAATACTATTCCAGCGCAGCCTATAAACAATACAAATCTCTATGTAGGTACTTATTACCAACATATTTGAAAATAACCAAACATTTTAATATCTAACAACTATAAGACAAAACGTATTGTCTCCGTCTCTAGAACAATCAACTAGTAAATTCTTTTGACATGTAAATCGTCAAGGAAGTCGTTTTGTGGTTATATAATAGGTTTTCCACTTAAATAAACTAGTTATTTAGACGGGTGAACGAGTTTCCTGATTCATAGCATTTGGGTATGGGAAAAACTGCTTTCTTTTTTTTATGGCATAAGCCGGTAAACGAGCAGACGGATCACCTGATGGTAAGCAATCGGCGTCGCCCATGGACACCTGGAACACAAGAGGTGCTACAAGTGCGTTACCGGCTTTTTGGGGCTTAGGAGTTTGAGGATCGTTGGGGATTCAGGGATTGGGGAGATTGGGGAAAGGGAGGGTAATTGGGCCTCCGGTAACCTCACTTACACGACGAAACACAACGCAAACGTTGCTTCACGTCGGTGTTCTATGAGACCGTGGTGTCACTCCGGTCGAGCCGGCCCATTCGTGCCGAAGCATGGCTCTCCCACACTTTCTATATAAGTTATATTCATAATAACGACCTTGGTTAAATGATGTTACGTTAAAAAGAAAAACTACTTATGAGTTTTGAATTTATTATTTACTACATAATTGTTGCGTGAGAACAACACATGCGTAACAAAGAAGTTATTAATATACGATAATTTCATAAAACTGATAGTTGAAAGGAAAATAATTCTTCGGAGCATATCGAAAAATCTAATTAACATAGACACCCATAAAGTAAGGAACTAGGTTGAAAGACCGACAGTGAAGTTAAGCGCCACAGATAGCATATCACAAACTATTGTGTAACAGTCAATTAAACTCCTTACTAATTAACACTATGTTTCAAGTGCGCACACATTTTTATCAGTCAAACACTCCATGAATACGACTGATAACACCATTGAAAAGTGATAAAAAATCATACACTTTTAAAAAAATAGAAAGACAAGATAAATTATCTACTAACATGTTATTTATAGTTCAATTTAACAGGTCATAAAATTGCAACTGGTTTTCAAAAGTCACCTCAATTAAATATACTAAGTATCATACGTGTAATTACCATTACATTGCATAAATAAACTAGACGTTAGAACTGCCTCGTTGGCCGAGTGGTTTGCCGAGCAAGATGTTTTGGGTTCAATTCCCGGGTCGAGCAAAGTATTGCTGGATTTTTAAAATCCTCAGTAGTAGCACGGAGTCTGGAAATGTGCCCGGTATTTGGCAATGGGTGAGCCTAGGCTCACCCCCTGTTACATGGGACTCATAACATAAATAGTGAAAAGTGGGTGTGAAGACTCTGTGTGCACCTCTGCCTACCTGGTCGGGGATAAAAGGCGTGATGCTATGTTACGTTAGAATCAATTTTAACAGAAGTAGTTATATGCACTAGAAATATAGCCGAAGTATCAACCTGACTCCAATAAATCCTTGGCCATCACATCACGGAAAAGACGTCCACTGCTAAAGATAAGCCTCCCTAAAGACATGTCGGATCCAAGAACCAAGATCACTTGGATGGAAGAGCTGCATCTTATATCTCCACATCAAACTCAGCAAGATTTTTTGAGAAGGCATTCGCATCAGAACCTGGCTGACTGCCAAAGTCAAAGCATTTATTTCAATTAATTCTTAATTAGGCATTTTGAAACGGCAAAAAATTTATTGTCCGTCTGTCTGTCAGTGAAGCTAGGTACCACAACCTATACAAACCTAAACTAACTATATAGATCCTTTCAAAACGACTGTATGTTCAAAATCTTGTGAATATTCAACTCTAACTAGGTAGTACCTATATGAAATGAAATGAAATGAAATGAAACTTTATTTGTGATACATAGGTACATTTGGTTGGTCATTTTTAGATTAAAGTGCGCTATGATCAGCCTATTTTAGGCATACAAATACTCGTATAAGAGTTTAAATCAGTAAGTCGATTAATTAGTTAGATAAGTAAATATGAATTTGTCGTGTTTTAATAAATTATATGTCAATAGTGTTCGTCAAAAAGTCAGATGAGGAAGACTACTTAATGCTTAATAAATTATAATAAATTGATGTCAATAAGTAGGTAATTAATAGATTATTGTAGTCAATACGTTATAGCTAAACATAAGTCAACAAATAAGCAAAATCAAAATTTATCCATTAAAAAATCTAAGACACTATAATAACATTTTTGACACAGTAATTGTTTTAAAGATTTTTTAAAATAATTAACATTAGCTTGTTTTAGCTCTTTAGGTAATTTATTATAGATAGCTGGAGCCATACGAAAGATACTTTTATGCATTAATGCGGTATTCGTTCTGGTATACACAGACGACTTTCATCCCTTTGTGGCCGATTATAAGCTTCAGATAATAAAATAAAGCGTTGAGGATTTTGCTTTACAAACACCGCGGTTTCATAAATGTATAGTGATGGTAAGGTCATAAGATTGTGTCTTTTGAAGAAAGGTACACAGCTGTCAGTGGCCTTCAAACCAAACATAGCCCGGACGCACCTTTTCTGTGCCCTGAAGACAAGAACTTTGTTGGTCGAATTCCCCCAAAATATTATGCCATACCTAAGGACAGATGCTACCAGCCCATGATAAGCGATTAGTAGTGTATCGCAATTAATTTTATGTGCGAGTTCATGTAGGACATAAGCTGATTTACTCATACGTTTGCATAGTTGTTCAGTATGCTGTTTCCAAGAAATTTTATCATCAATATGCAAACCGAGAAATTTTGTACTATTTGTTTCATTAATGGCTTGTGCATTATAATTTACATTCAAATTGTTCGGGGAAGGTAACCGTTGCTTGAAATGCATTAATTGCGTTTTAGTTAAGTTTGCTTTTAGATTATTGACATTAAGCCAGTTCATGATAGAACTCAAGGTGTTATTTATATCATGTTCATAGTTGATTTTATTTGTGCATTTTACTGTAACTGTACTATCATCCGCAAATAGAGCTATAGGATTGTCAGTGGCATTAGGCAAGTCATTAATGTACAGTATAAATAGTGTTGGACCCAGAACGCTACCTTGGGGGACACCGTATTTCAGTTTTCGCTTGCATGATCGAAACGTTTCTTCTTTTTTTGTCAAAATATTAATTGTACTCAATTCAGTGTATTGATTGCGACCTTTAAGATACGATTCGATTAAGTTCAAAATATTACCTCTTATTCCGTAATGATAAAGTTTCCCGACTAATATGTCATGGTCAACGTAGTCAAAAGCCTGCGTCATATCCATAAAGATTGAGCATACAGGTATTCTATTGTCGACATCAGCCATAACTATTTTTAGAAAATCATATATTGCCATGTTAATAGTTTTATTGTGTCTAAATCCCTTTTGTTCATTTACCAAAATATTTTTACATTCCAAATAATTGTTGAGTTCTTTACATATGTGTTTCTCAAATATCTTTGATATAACTGAAATTAAAGCAATGGGTCTATAGTTTTCTAGATATTCTCTATTATCTTTCTTGAAAATTGGTTTAATAATAGAAGTTTTTAATTTGTCAGGGTATATCCCTGCTTCAATACATAAATTTATGAGGTAGCTGAAATGAGGAGAAATATTCGTGGCTATATATTTCAGAACTTTAGTACAAATGCTATCGTTACCTACACTATTTGTTGTTTTTAAGTTTCTAATAATTCGTAAGACGTCATTTGGTAGACATGGTTTCATAAACATAGAATTTTGTCTAGTGGTCATGTATGATTTATACTGCATTTTGAGTGATTCATTTTGAGGCACTATTTTATCGATAAAATAGTTATTGAAGGCATTGGATATGTCATAAGGGTCAGTTATTGTTTTGTTATTTACTTTAATACTACTTATTGTATTTTGTGGTAAGTTTAGTTTTGTTTTATTTATAATGTTCCAAGCCGATTTGCTCTTATTATCTGAATTGTTAATTAAATAATTGTTTTGAGCGCGTTGTGTTAATTTTATTACTTTTTTATACCTTTTTGAGAATTCTTTTAATTTTGTTTTATTCGCGTGTGTAGGCAATTTTCTGTATTGCCACAAGAGAATGCGCTTTTTG